ATTTTGACCTTTGTAGACAAATGACATTTTGAAAAATTTGAATTTAAATTATAGATATTTTTGTTGTAGAAACTTATAATAGAAGCTTCAAAAATATTTTCAGACATATACATTTATTACTTTAGGATAAAATTCTTTGAAGAAAATGGAAAGGAAGTATGAGAACAGAAAAGAATGCAGTAAAATTTCTAACACTTAAATATATAAATATATTTATTTTTTTAATGGTTATGGTGAGTAACAAATTACTGTGGTATTGACATTCCATAGGATAGAGTAGAGCAATTTTTAAATGTCAACATAGAGTATATTTTGAAAAAGTTACATCTTTTCCAGCTATTTAAACATATAATGAAAATTTCAGATGTCAACCTAAAAATTTGATAACCACTAACTTATAGTTTGTTCTAGTCTCTCCTTTGTACTGTAACTATTTGTTTTCAAATTTTATCCCCTTTATGAGAATACAGATGATTGAGGATAAGGATCATGCTGTCTAAGATTTGAGTCTTTCACAAAACTTTACAAAGTGTCTATAATAGGAGCTCAATTGAATATTTACTAATTAAATTATTTTTATTTTCATCAAAGGGAGACATTCATTCCTCTTCCACTGTTCTTTTACAGAGCCTTCAGGTTAGTTTCATCTACTACTGATAATCAAAACAACTGCCTGATGAAAATGCAATTTGGGTTTAAAGAGTAACTCACATAGTATCTTTACAATGGGAATAGGAAAAATAGTGCGAGAAGGAGATGAGCATATACAGTAAACCAATATCATGTTTCTTAAATATGGTTATTTTCTATATAAAATAAAACAACACTAAGCATTTGGAAATACATTTATTATTATAAAACCATAGTGTACATATACTCTTAACTAAAACCAATTTCTTTTCATGATGATTCTTTCTAATGTGCTCCAAATTAGAAGGCAGTAAAAACACCAGCAGATGGATCAGAGTTCACTGCCTCAAGAAAAGGCAATAAACCTTTTCTTCTCAGGTCACTGATATAGAATTGCAATCAAAAGTTGTATTTTTTACACTTTACTCAGCACTTCTGCTTAGGACATGGTAAGCACAAGATATTGCCTAACATTGCTTTATTAGCTACATATCCAACAATAAGCTAGCAATAAGAAGTAGCTTATGCACACTGGTTTACACACTTTTGCAATTTTTGAGGATTATCAGGAAGGTGTGGTCTTGTCTTGTGGTTATAATCCTGTGGTTATAATTGCATTTAAATATGATATCCAGCATTTTATATTGTACTTAGCATTATCCAAAGAAATAATATTACATATAGACCTCTTAAAAATAACATAACTTAGGCAAAATAAATGCAATAAAAACTCTTATAGCCTACTTAGAAATATCAAATATGAGTTTAGGCTTTAGATAGCCTCACATCTCCCCTGATTCTTACCATTCCCTTGTCTCTGTGAGATTCTTGCTTGAAGAGAATATTATCTTGAATTATAAAACTCCTTTTATTAAAAAGAAAAAATTGGGACTATCTTAAATATGACAATCCTGTATCCTAATAGCATCTTTGTAACTACTAATTCTAGGTGACATTCATTGAGTACCCACTTTGTACCAGGCACTCTGCTTAGCACTTGACATTTAATCCTCACAATAACTCTCTGAGGTAGGTGATATTATTGAGCCCATTTTACAAGAGAAGTCTCCAAATCAAGGTTTATGGAAGGCAAAAGATGTAGATGGGAATATTTATACCCTGGTCTTCCTGAACTCCTTATTAGACTGAGAGCTCCTTGAAGAGGGGCATTCTGTGTCTCAGCACGCATTATAGTGCTGGTCGTGTAGGCTCAAGACGGAAGGAGGTAGGTAGAGAAGACCCTTGCGCTGATGTGATGAGAGTGGGCAACAGCTAGATGGAGCAGACGAGTGGCCAGACCAAGAAGGGTAATCATGTTTTGAACGCACTAATAGAAAAATCACATATTTAAGAATATTAGTGTATGAAAACACTTCCACAAAAATGATAAAGGACTACAAAAGAATAAGTGTTCAAAGTCACATCTGATTTTCCTGGAACTAAATCTAATTAATTACTGTGATTTTCATTATTTATTATGATGTATACCATTGAAGACCTAGGAGTTTTTATTGTTTAGCTAGTTCCTTTGTCCTAGTATAAAGTGTTAACAGTTTCTTATTTCACCTTCACGTTTCTTTTCAATTCACTTGTATCTCAGTAAGAAAAAAATTTTGGAAGGGAAACAATGTAAGTTACTTAAATTTCTCTGAGGCAGAAAACTTCATGGTTTGAATTTCTGGTATTTGTGGGTCAGTCAAAATAATTAATTAGAACTTAAGAGTGGTCTTTTGGGTTCTTTATTAAACCTTTATTATTTTATTCTCTTAGTAAATGAGATCAGGAGTAGTGATTTGATTAAATCACATTCATTGGCTATAAAAACATTAAATTTTTTTTTTATTGTTAGTTTCAGGTGTACTAATTTTTTTTTTATCATTGCAACTTTGGGCATCAAAGGGCATTAGCATCCCGAAGAACACGTGAGCCACACAAGAGCAATTTTCCTGCTCCTGCCCTATTCAGAGTCCCTACATATTTTTTTTTTCATAATTCACAGTTTAGCACAAAGATCTGCTGAACTATTGAAGCTCACTTTGACTGTGTCCAGAAGTCCTAAGTGAAAATGGTTTATTGGCCCCCAAAAAATAAAAATCAGTCAAAGTGAAAGTAAATCATTTCATGTTGTTGGGACTGCCAAATTACAGAAAGATAAACAACTTTGGCAATGAAGTAAAAAAGCAAGTGTTGAATGTTTTTATGCACATTAAGGCAAACATAAAAAGGATTGATTCAGCATTCCCTTTGTGACGAAAGAGCCTGGAAATAATTGAGCTCCCTGCTAAGCCTTTGGTATCCATTAGAACTGTACTTCCATAGTTGGCAAAATTGACTGTAAGAGAAAATCTGTTTAATCATCTGTGTGTTTCCAATTTGCCTACATAGGTAAAAGCACTTAGCACAGTTCCTGGAACATAGGTGGTACACAATAAATGTTAGCAATAGCAACAGAAGAGCTTAGATAGCATCAGTATACCGCTAAGGCAAAGAGGGAAACATCAAAGGGGATGATTGTTTTGTGTTAGAGAACTCAGTCTTTCCAGGAAAATTAAATGGAGATTTGGATCAAGTCTGAAATTGAGCATTCATGAATTTTCGGGGGCCCACCCTTGGGAATTCTCCAACCCTACCTTCTCAATCTGTTTTGAAATATAATAATTCAGAAAATGTCTAACAAACAGAGCAATCTTTTACTTTAAATTACCTAAGTTCGATGTCTCTATTGGGGTTTGAGGAGATATACAATATGCCCCACTTATCACTGAGTATATTTTATAACACAAGTCAGAAAACCAGGTGTGCTCAATTAAAAAGCAAAACAAAACATAGTTGAAAGGCTTGAACCAACAAGAAATTAACATGGGTTAAAATAGATGTTAATATTAACTAATAACCCATCTATATGACCAGGTAAAACCTTGTTAGTGTATAATCTTACAAAACCATTTGGTCACCAAAGGAACTAATTATTTTCCCCTGAATACTAAAGATTTTGGTAAGCCTACTAAAAAGAAAGGTTTTTCTTTACAAACATAGTTTAATACACTCAATAAACCACTCCACATGAAATTATAGAAAAAATAAAAATTCAAGCAAAATGCAAATTTTAATACTCAAGAAAAAGTTGAGTGGGAGAAATGGGAAAGTTATCAATTTTACCATGAACTTGACTGCCACAAGCCCTGTCTCCTATAGTATGAGTTTTGTGGGTAAGAAAATTCCATCTTAGTCATATCCAAATACGTAAATATTAGTTGTATTTCAGGTTTGTAACCATATGCTTAATGAAGCAAGAATATGATACATTGAAACCGCTTTGATTTCAAAAGAACCTTATTATAAAAAGTAGAAGTAGGAATATTAGTATGTCCTTTCCATGTAGTGTAGCAAAATGAGCTAGACTTTTTGGTTTACTTAATTATAGTCTTATCATAAAAAATAGATTCTGTAACTTAAAAAAAATACTTTCTTTGGTAATATTTAATGATATTTCTAATCAGAGCCCATAAAAGCTCTTTAAAAAATAAAACAATACTTCGAGATGCAGATATAAAATTCTCAAAGAGTCGTCTTTTAAAAACACATGACTTCCTTTCTTTTTCTGTTCATATCAAAAAGCAGGTTATCTTTACGCATTCTCTCCAAGGAATTTCATTTCGATAGCAGCTTTTGGTGCTGGGGCTGAGCCACGCTTCTTTCGGAACTCTGCTGCAATTTCCTCAAAGGATTTTCCTTTGGTTTCTGGAACTTTGAAAAATGTAAACAGAGTAAAGGCGAAGACCACTCCAGCAAAGAGGAAAAACACGTAAGGTCCACAGAAGTCCTGCATAGAGACCAAACACAGAGTCCCAATTAGCTGCTATTTGACCCTCTCTTCCGTTCAGTAAATGTGCACAATGTTAGGCTACTTACCGCAATGTATGGGAAACACAGAGCTACAATGAAATTGCAGGTCCAGTTGCTGAAAGCAGCTATTGCCAAAGCAGCAGGGCGTGGTCCTTGACTGAAAAATTCAGCCACCATAAACCAGGGGATAGGGCCGGGGCCAATTTCAAAGAAACTCACAAAGAGGAAGATGGCTGTCATGCTCACGTAACTCATCCAAGTCAATTTATTCTGAGAAAAAAAACAACCAAGTAGAAATGGAATCATTGGCTGCTTCTTCTTTTTGCTACATATAAGACTCTCACTGAGTTCAGCAGTGATGGGCTCTCTTTCTGATGTGTTTATGTTCAATTACGTATGGTTATTCTAGTGGGAGACAAGTTTATTCCAGTATGTTCATCTTTAAGTCTTTTGAGCTATGTTATAGGAAACCCTCTGGATTAGGATTTTATATTACTCTTTGTCACTCTTTTCCTGTGAAAACGGCAAGATAAGGACCCAGGGACCTCTGCTCCACTACTAATAATACCAAGGTTGCTAGACAGGAGGCATGTTGAAGTAGTGGTTGAGGGCCCTGGGCTGGAGAGGTCCAGATAACTGCCCAAGGTCACATAGGCAGCCACGTAGCAGAGGCAGCACTGGAATGAGTTTAGGGCTGACCCCAGAGCCTAAGCTCTGACTATGTTGCTACACTGCCTCCCTGGATAACAAGTGCAATTTACTTTCTGAGTTCAGTCGTTAACCCCCCTCCTCCCAAAACAAGTTCTCTTTTCCTTTCTATTATATGCTGTTCCTCTGGCTTTATTTCATAAGCCATTCTCAAATGTTTTTGACATACAGGTACTTTAACCTGGAGCACAGAAGTGCTATCATACGGTAACCAGAGGTTTCAGTGCAGGCACCAAACTCACCAGCAGCACAAGTCCCACAGACATGAAGATGGCACAGATAAACATGCCACTCATTCCAATCAGAAACAGAGAGCGTCGCCCTGCCTTCTCCACGAGGAAGACCTAGGAGAGTTTTAAAACACATAGGCTTTATACTTAAATAGTTTTTCGGACAAAGAGGTCATTTCAATTTATACAGCTGAGGAGGCTGGGGGTGGGGGAGGGGGGAAGTGACTCTTGCCTGAGGTGGCAGGGCTGTCTCCATGACCAGAGCTCATTAATAAATACCAGCTTCATTGAGTCAAATAGATTTGAATAGGGCATTCTAGAGAAAGAACTATAGTGTTGGCTCCTCTCTATGGTATCACTTGGGGTACAATAGTACGAGGCCATATATCTTGGATCTCTTCCAGTAGATTTCCTGGATGTTTAAAATATGAAGTTTCCACATAAAAAATGACATTATTTTTCTCTCCTGGTATTTATCCTAAGCTCTAATTACAAGGGTTTGTGCACTTCAGACACCTGAAACAGTACAACTGTTGAGGTGTCAACTATTCTCATCCAACTTTCTCACTGCTAATGAAGTCAAATGATGACCACTCACTTGGTAACATATGGAATTTGATCACTTTGCCAAAATAGTCAGGTCTTCATTTTTCTGGTGAGCCTAAATGTACCTAGTGTTGCAAATGAACTATCTATTTGAAAAGATGAGTTGAAATCAAAAGGTTAAAATGCTTTCTTCTTCTAAGTCGGGAGATATGTCATTGATGCCTTTGGGTCTGGGAACCTTTGCACTAATGGTTAAGATTTACAATTAGCCAAGACCAGAGTTTGTTGGATAGAGTGATGCTTACTCCTTGAAATACTGCCAAGGTTGGAGATTCACACACACCAAAAACTACCTGTCATAATTTCCCACTATGGTGAGTCCATTGGCTAGGCTCATATATCTATCATCAATAGCAATCCAATACCCTTAGTCTAGTGAGCTCTGGCTCTGAAAATATATGAGAAATATTTCTTTTTTTGCCTACATTGAAAGCCCCTTTCTTCTCAGAGGCATTTCGTATCAGAGTTTCAAATCATTTCAGGATGATAAACAAAGAACCCACATTTAATTGTTGAGAAGGAAGTGGGAAAAACAAACCTTTCTCACATTCATAAAATTTCTCTCTATATTTTGACTCTTTAATTATGGATTTCAAAGCTGACTTGACGCCATGTCAAGCTACGAAGAAAAGAGAAACATTTCTTCAGGAATAAGGGCTTTTACTATGTCTGTTTCTTCAGTCTCTGAACAATTATTATGAATAGAATAAAAAAACTCTAAAACTACATGCCTTGAAAATTGAGCTGGACTCCCTTTTTGAGGCCAGAGACCACTCAGGGAGGAGTGTGACACAGAGTGAGACTTGGTCAGGGGCTAGAGATGTCTGCCTGACCATATCTCTCACCTTTGCTCTGGCGGTGTTGCTCAGATCCTGGAAGCCTACTCAGTGCATATTCCTATTTGCACATCTTTATTTGAAAGGCTACATGGAATTTGGTAACACTGGTTAACTTTGGGGAGAGAAATTGCATGATTGAGGGGGCTATCTTTCTTTGTACTTTTCTGAACTTTAAAACCATTCTTCAAAAATATACATAATTACAAATTTTAAATGTTATTTGTAGTCCTGGAGGGTTATTTGTAATTAGGCAACTGATTAGAGATTATTTTTTTATTATGTCACTTGCTCAAAAACTTTCACAGAATAAAAGGATCAACTCTGTAAAGGTATATTCAAAATAATCAAGACACTTTTTAAAACAATTCCTCCAACCCCAATGGGGTTGACAGGAGGGAGACAAAAATGAAATTCTGCAGTAGTTTCCTTTTAGGCACTCTTACGATTTGGGTTACCCAATCTGGACAACATGATGCTTTACATAGCAGGCCCTGTTACATATAAAAGTTTTAATCATAATCTCTATATAAGAAAAATATGTTGAAGTAAGATGTGCAAAAAGTATTATCTCAGGAGATAAAAGAATGCTAATAGTCCTTTGGATTACATCCCAGAACCAGGCCTTTGTTGATCTAGAGTGGCCTTTTGGCTTGAACAGGCGTTATCTCTAAAGGCATGTCTACAGAACTACTGGTGTTCCCTTGTTATTTGTTCTTCCCCCGCTTTTCAAGGTCCAGCAAGTTACATGTAGTCTGGACAAAGCTACCTTTTGACCTAGGTGGCCAGGCTATAATGTATTGACCACCCTAAGGTAATAGTTAAAACCCATGTGCAGAGAATGAAAAACAAGTAACTAAAGAATATTGAGCACAGCATTGTGATCAAAATTGAAAAGCACAAGCTTTTTTGAACATTCTGAATTCTAAGATAAAAATAAGCCCAATTACTCTCATTTTAGAGTGAGTTACATTAGTTGGAAAGTTTTGGGGATTTTTTTGTTGTTTGCTTACTTTTTCAATTGTTATGTTAAATATTATTATTTTCAAGATACTGAATCATTCCTTATATAAGGTATTTGGTCTTAAGAAAAGTATATGGCCTCTTCCACTTCTTGGAAAAAATTTATTTTTCAAAAATAAATAACACTTGACACTAAAAAAAAAATTAAAAAAATAACAATAACATTTCAACTTATGTACCACTTCTACTCCATCCTCTCACAGTATCACACACGCATGTGCATCACTGGAAGCCATAGCCTTGTGAGCTACTTGGATGCTCTGCCCAATGGCCTAACATCATAGGGATTTGCTGAGTCTGTTTAATTTTACTAGAGGCTTAAATATCTAGTTGAGAGGACCACATTTATTTCATTTAAATGTTTTCCCAAGACATTGGAATAAAAAAAATTTTAACCATAGAATGAGAGGAATCTAGGTGCAAGACCCTGTATTGATAGAAATGACAAGCTGTTGGCTAATCCTAACCGGATTAGAGCAAAGCAGAAGAAACCAGGTATTTACACAAGGAGAATGTCCTCTGAGTCCCCAAGTGAGTTATTAATTCACTAATGAATGGCTAATGGCATACCCGCTGATAGAGAGAATCAGTGATAAGCAGAGAGCACCAGATAACCTGCTCAGTTATACCTAATCTCAATACAGTGCTTGGTGATTCACACATAGGACTTTCCATGACCCACCCGGTTTTACATACCCCGTGCATGTGGACAATAAGTCATCAGTCACTTTTAGGTCGCCAGGTTTTTGTTGTTTTTTTTAAACTCCCATTTCTGGACTGAGGAACAAGCAGATTATTTTTGGCTATTTAACTTACAGAGAGAGCAGTGAAAATTGTGTTGATGGCACCAACTCCAATGGTTGCATAAACAGGTTGGCTGACTCCAGCTGTCTCAAAAATACTGGTTGAGTAGTAAAAGATCTGCAAAGTAATAAGAGTTTAGTTGCAATCAAGAAGCCTGGCATGGATGGCTTTAAACAACAAATATTTTAAGTTGTTTATTTTTAGTTGTTTCTATGGAAACACAGTCCCTAGAGCTTCCTAAAGATTTTATCTGCCTTCTCCTCCCAAGGAAGGAGAAACCAGAATTTTCCTCCAGTGTCTAAAGCTTCTGATTGCTTAAAAGTTCTCCTTATATTTAGCTGAAAACTCTGCATATGCATTTTCTTTATATTTAAAAAGATTTTAAACCTCTTGTTAAAGTATAAAAGACATACAAAAAATTACCTAGATCATAAGTGTACAAGCTCAATGAATCCTCACCAACCGAACACACCTGCATAACCAGTACCCAGATCAGGATATAAATCATTTCCTGCCTTCCGGAAGGCCCCTAAATATCACTCTACTTTTTCAAGGAAACTCTTCCAACTTCTGTCATTGTCGGTAAATTTTGCCAGTCTTGCACTTGATATAAACGAAACAACAGTGTGTATTACTTTGTATCTGGCTACGACATTACCTTTGTGAGAAGAATCTATATTGCTGTAGTTGTGTATTTGTGTTTCAATCGCATTACTATATAGTATTTTATTGTATTATATACCACAATTTAGTTACCCATTCTACAATTGATGGTGTGTATGTGGTTGCCATTGAGGGTGATGATGAATAGTGCTGCTATGAACATTCTAATACAAACCTCTCAGTGAAATACGCATGCATGTCCACCTAGGAATAGGATTTCTGGACAACAGAGCATACATATGCTCGGCTTTGATAGGCACTGCCAAACACCTTTCCAAAGGAGTTGTGTCAGTTTACACTTTCACCAATAAGTATGAGAGTTCCGGTTGCTATTGCGTTTAATCCCACTAAAATTTCCCAGTAATCTCAGTGGAGATGGAGAAATCTGGTTCACAATCGCCCTCAAAACTCTCATTACTTAGTTACATTTTTACTTTTATAATAGTGTTTTAGGTCATCTTGTTCTATATTCCTCTGTCATTGTTTTTCCATATCACATGTCCTGTTGCTGGCACCTTTTTCTGCAGACAGGGCTGATACAGGAGGACCAGGCAGACTGTTCAGTGAGGAGTGGCTTACAGCACACTGCACACTATCCACCATTTGTAGGCTGCCCAACAGCCTCAGGTTCAGTATTTCCTGGATGCCTCGAAGTCAGGCAGTGGGGTGGAAGCTAAAGCCGGGAAGTTCAGAGAGACTAAGTATTGTGCCATCGGATGTGCAGGCAGAGTGGAGATAGGGGACAACAATTTAATCTCTCAGCCCCCAAGTTCTAGAGTATTAGATAAAATTGAACATCAAGGAGCCTGAAAGGAGGACGAAGACCACAGTAGAGCAGTATTCAGCTCGTGGAGTGAGGTTCAGGTGTCCTTTTGCTTCACTTCATAGGAATTACTTTCTTTGCCTCCCCCAAGTCTCTGCCCATCCATCAGTCACCCCCCAACGTGTGTCCCTTGTGGATTTGGAATTGGCTCATTATAGTGGAAGCCCAAACCACATTTTTAACAGCAATGAAAGGGGATAAGTGGTTTTCTTTAACCAGTTTTTAAACAAATGCTTAATTATTTTCTTCTAGTAGCTAATTGCCAGTAAAACAACTTTAGTCTGCCTAATGCAAGGATTTAAACTCAAAAGCTAAAAGCTAGCAAGTTTTATACTCAGTACGTTTTCAATCATGTATTGGGTTGTCAGAAAAGACATGAAGTATTTTTTCTAAGTTTTTCGTTGCAAAAATGCCTTCTGACTTTTGCGACAACCCAATATTTTCTACCACCCTCAGTCACCAACATCATATCAGTTTACTCTGCTGTTTCTTTTGAGTGTGTGCTGTCTCCCCAAATAGACTGAAAGTTTCTTAGATGGCAGGAAACTCCTTTGCACCTGGCTATCTGATATACTTCATTTAAATAGATGAAGGAAACCATGGACTGTTTTTGCCTAGGCTATCATAAGTCCTACCTTTGATACTCAACTCTAGAAGCCCCTTGTAATTTACTCTTCTTTGGTATAATTATTCTCCTTTTACCTTTTTTGTATTTATTATGACTTTTGCCTTTTTACCCTCATCTTTAAAAATTATAAACTAATTTTAGAAAGCAGATGGGGCAAAACCAAATATTAATGCTTAGTCAGTATTTTTTATAGTAAGCCATGTGATGTCAACATCTTAAAATGTCTTTTAGCTGTTTAAACTTATACCCCTTTCCTGCCCTGTCTTAATTCACGTTGTTCTTAAGACTTAGGGAGTGTTCTTAAACTTACCCCATTGATTCCAGAAAACTGCTGAGCCATGTGCAGCATCAATGCCACTAGAATAGGTTGTCGGTAGCTGGAATTGGTGAAGAGCTGAATGATGGATATTTTCTGTTCCATTGATGCTTCTTCTCTTTCTTTTCTCATCTCAGCAATGTCTTTGGTGACATCAGCACCTCCTCTGAGTCTTTTCAAGCCTGTCCCCCAAAATGATTAGGTTTATATAACTCAGGTCAAAAAATTTACGTTTATTATATTAATGAAAGAGCTACAGTCTGCATAGCCATCTCTTTTACTTAATAGCATGTGTGTTGAGAATTCTTAATTGTTAAATTAAATTCTGCTCTTTTATTTTAAAATAGTAGAACATTTAACTTCACCTTATGACAAAGAAAACTATAATCCTCATTATCACAGGAGCATAATGCTGGAAAGGTCTTTTAGAAACTGATGGTTGAGACCAATACTCTGCACGTGGACTTCTAATTTGGGCCCGAATGAATGTTTATGGGTGCAAACTGGCATGTACCAGTCATATGAAATGATCTTGCACATTCTTCTTACATGTAATCACTGACGTTACTTGGAAAGCACTGGTACCAATTTCATAGTAACCATTCATACACACAGCTTCCCATTAGCTGATAGTTCCAAAACAATAGGTAAAAAGTAAAAACACCTATAGACTTACTTTTCTTTGCTTTGTCTTCCTCATCTAACTTGATGTAAAGGTATCTGGGACTTTCTGGACAGAAGAAGAGCAGCAGAGACTGGAGGACAGCTGGCACAGCAGACAGAGCAAGCAGGATGTGCCACAGCTCATGGTTGCCCAGGATAAAGTCAAGGCCAATAATCTGAAAAGGTAGAATGGAGGCGTATGAACTACACAACACTTTGGGTCTGCCTTCTGCAGCAATTTGTTGAAAAAGCATATTGACTATTTAACAGTAATCACTGAAAACTTTAGTATGCACAAGATTGAAACTCTTTCTAACTAGTGTGTCTCATGTCTCACCTTACCTAAATTAGGGACTATTTGTTTTATAAAGAATTCACCTAGGTTTGTTTTCATTAACTCCCAAGGGACATTTAAGATGGGAATCAACCAGATTTTTAAAAAACATATTTAATATCTAAAACAATACCAAAAATCATGCATAACTTTGGGCATTTCTTAGAAACTATCTTCTTAGATTACCCAGAACTTAAATATAATGGGGTTATATAGGTAGAAAAATTACTCTGATGAGAACCAGCTTTATGATCCCTAGTGCAGTAGTCTACCCTCTGGATAGTCATAGGTTTGGGGTTCCAAGGACTCCCTCTGAGACCACAGGATAGAAGGGAAATACGGAGCCAGCTGAACAAGAACCAGTCATCATTTATATATTAAATTTCCAAGTTAGATACTCAAAGGAAGCCCAGAAAGCCAAAAATTTGAAGTTTCCTATCCCTTTAATCTAAATGAAGTAACTTAACTATAGAATAGCTCTAGAAGTTCAAGACTTGGCTTCCAGGTTACTTTCAGTGCCAACACCATCCCAACTCTGAAGGGAATAGTGAAGAGCAGAGTAGTGATAATGAAGTTTTGAGCTAAAAAGCCTAGACCTCTACAACACCTCCACTGGTGAAACTGGTTTTTTTTTTTTTACACCTGTATTGGTCTACGGTGAGAATCGACAGAGAGGGAGAAACTGGGTAAAGTAGAGGATGGGTGAAGTAGGGGATGGGAGTTTTTACCTGACTAACAAGAATGCCTGTGACAATGGCCAACTGGTGAAGAGCGCCAATAGCACCCCTGAATGTAGTTGGAGCAATTTCACCAATGTACATTGGAACCAAGCCTGAAATTAGCCCTGCATGAAACATGAACATAATATTATTATTTTTCTTTTTTAAAATTAAATGTATTGGAGTGACAATGGTAAGTAAAATTACATAGGTTGCAATTGTACAATTCTGTAATACATCATCTATATATCACATTGTGTGCTCACCACCCAGAGTCAGTTCTCCTCCTATCACCATATATTTGACCCCCTTTACCCTCTTCTACCATCCCCCCTCCCCTTGTATCCTTTGGTAACCACTAAAAAAATTAAATAAATAAATGTTAAAGTGAAACCAGGATTATTTCAATAACATTAATTTGGTTTAAGTACATTCAATATTCTGATTGAAAGTCTGTTCTTGAGTCTGTTGAAAGGAACAACCATTGTTCCCAATCATAGACACAGTTTATGCAAAGAATATTTGTTGCTACAATTCCAAGTAAAGTTATAGCTGGATACACAAATAGAAAGAAATTGTTAGTTAAGTATTTGGCAATCAGTCACAGCATTGTCTTATTTAGTTAAAAAAAAATTCTGTGTTAGTATTGAGTTTACATCATAATGCCTACAACGTCTTAAGAAAAGAGACTGAAAAATGCATTAATAATATTCTTTAAAATAATTATATTCTTAATCTAGACTCATGGATTAAAGGAAATTAGAACATGTCTAGGCCAATGTCTGTACTTGACCGAAGTGTGAACTGACTTACCTAAGATCATAATGCAATAGAGTGTTAGCACAAGAACTACAAGGCCTATCTGAGTTTGCATAATGTGGAGGTGCCTCAGGATCACGTTAGAGTGGTGGTGGTGGTGGATGTGGGGTGGTTAGAGAGGTGTGAGGGGCTAAGTAGCTCAGGGGCTCTTTCCCCAATTACTCCAACCAGAGCAACCCAGCTGCTTCTTTATTCTCTCCAAATAACAGGATTTAGAAAAGATTTTATTTAAATAAAGACTTTGGGAGCTTAAAGGAATACAAAAACTGAAAAGCACTAGCACTATGCCATTCTACCTTCCATGAGTTTCTTTTTTTTTTTTTTTAAACATTCACAATGAGACCTGTTAAGATTTTTATTGGGGAATTGGGGGATAACAGCGCTGGGGAATTGGGAGAAAGGGGAACAGACAAGTTGCTGTCGTTTTGTTCTTCAGTCTAGTTGTGGAGGACATTGCTTCACTGGCCCAAGTTGGCACCATCATTGCGCTCTTCTCTGGCGAGGCAGATCAGTCGCCGGCTTCTGGACGGCCGCTCACTGCGGCTGCTGGCCGCTCACGCTGGCTGCTGGCCACACACGGTAGCCCATGGCAATCCACTGCCACAGGGACTGCAGCCCGCCGGCGACTCACGGCAGCCCAGCTCCAGGTTGAGCTGTTGTTCAGCATCTTAGCTGTGGAGGGCAGTGTCACTGGCCCTCACATGTGGGATCCGAACCGGGGCCCTCTGGCATCCCAAGCGAGTTCTTAACCATCGCGCCACTCGGCCGGCCCTCCATGAGTTTCTTAAATGCAGATGTAATCAGTCATGTTGGAATGGCGGAATATCTCGCCATTTGCTAAATGCATAAGAAGGTTCGAGACTATCAGTAAGTCAAGGCTGAATGCAGAGTTTGGCATTTTTCTTAAGAATTAAAAAATAAGATCTGTCAGAGGCGTCCTCGTAGAGGGACTGCCTGACTATCAAATGGAAATGGATGGTCTTTGTGTAACAGAGCTGTTTGGGATCTGTTTCAATATGTTTTTAAAGCCTTAAATTGTTCTTAATATTTCACATGAACATTTGCATGGTTGATACAGCATCTGGATTTCTGCTGACTTTTGCATGTGACTCTAATGTGTGCTCTGTTGATCTTAAATTAGAAAAAAAATTCACTTATTACACCCTAGTCCAGGCTGTGCTATCTTTGTGTAGTATCTACTAATATACTTCAAAAACAGAATAGTGTAGGTAATCTCACAGGTCTTATCTATGCATGAAGTTATATGAAACTGAAGTCAAATTACATTTTCTATAATTTTTAGCAACTTTGATGCTCAGAATTGTCCCAGAAATAATTTTAAAAGATGGTTGGAAAGTACAAGTGTACTTGGCCATGTTAGTGATAGGTTGCTTCACAATATGTTTACAGCATTTCTTTTAAATTTTACCAAAAATGTTTTATATTATTTCTACTGTATTTTTAAAATACCGGAGAGGAAGGACAAAAGAATCATGATTTGGAACTTTTTGAGAGTGTTATTATTTGCAGTTTTCAGAAGAGGAAACATATCTAAGACCAGATAGAGACAGTGCCAGAATTGATTCACTGTGAACCCAAAACACAGAGGTTGACTTTTCACTTTGATAAATGATCCTGACTTTCAGTTATTTGTATTAGCATTGAAAGTAATGAAAAGTGAATTTTAGGTAACTTTAGACTTTTGTTTCAACTGATCATTGAAAATGCATAGAATTATAGTCTTTCTTCTTTGCAGGTAATGTGTTAGATATTTTATAGACCATTTTGTGCCCTTGCTCCTCCTCTCCCACCCCCAGTGGAGATCAGTGGTTTGGGATTGCTACAACTTGGGACAATGTGTTAAAACCTTGGCACAGAACTATTAGGGTGTCATTGGTATTGAGAAGCTAAACATTTGGCTGTGTTAGAAATTGAATGACCTTCCCTTTGTTCAGGCCTCTGCTGATTAGTTGCTTCCAAAGTTTAAAGCTGTTTCCAAGAACTTATGATTCCAGCAATTCAGATGAAAAATTCATGGGAGGAGCATTGTTGCTTCATTCTGAACTCCTCTACCAGCTGCTTCTTCCTGATTTCCTCTGCTTATGGTCACTGCAGCTTTAACGCTTCATCCAGCCAGATCTGGAATCTGACAGGGCTAGGCAGTGTGGTCTGAGAGATATGGGCCTGGTGTCAATGCCAGATAGAAGAGACAGACATATAAGCGGCCAGGTAGACCAAAGGGACGAGCTTGAGTTTCTGGGTGTAGCAGTCTTCTGCCATCTACTATGTGTCTGGGAGTAACAACAATAGAGAGCATTTCTTGGCAGTTAACTGTATGCACTCAGATTGTATGCTGGACATTTTACATGTATTCTCACAAGTACCCTACAAGGTAGATAGTATTTTTTTCTGCATTTATAGTTAAGAAAACTGAGGGCTTACTTTGCCTTAGATCATATGACTAGAAATGATGTCATTGCCATGGGTAAGAAGACAGCGTCACAATTCCCTCTTACTGGTCCCAAACCTCCCCAACAAGAGACTTCAACTTTATACTATTGCCTATCCCTTTTGTGATGCCACCTTGGGCTCAGAATATTCCCTGCATGTTACCACATCTGCTTTTAGAATAATTTTCAGGTGTGCGTGCACGCGCATGCGCGTGCACGTGTGTGTGTGTGTGTGTGTGTGTGTGTGTGTGTGTGTGTGTGTGTGTGACTTACCACAGTAGAGTCCTGATACACCTCTTCCTGAAATTATAAGAATGTGAGATGGTCCCAATTTCGAAAACCCCATCAAGAGAGCGCCAGCTAATGAGAGAATGTTTGCTACCAACATGGCTTTGATTCTGAAATTTTAAAAAGCAAGGATTATAAATTCAGTATCAAAACTTGATAAAACTAATTTGCTTTCAAAGTATTCTGAGATTTTTACCTTAGACATTATTATAATTTTGCTGAAAAGGCTAGTTGGGGAATCTTAAACTATGATTGCTACACTGATTTATCTACAGACTGAATCATTAACTATAAGTAATATTTATAATGAGATAATTTGGGTTTAATGCACCCAATCTCTACATTTTGATAGAATGATTCAATTGTTATGATGACTAATTTGATTTATAATAAAACTGCTAGTGCTATTTCAAACAATTAACTAAGTTTTCTATTAGTTGATGGTTTTAAAAAAATAATTGCCTGTCAATAGCTAAATTCAATGCAGTAGTTGTAACCTATGACACTTTTTTTTCTTTTAATGGTGCCAGTTTTTAGTTGATGTAGATCATGAAAGAAACTTCTAAAATTAAATTTTCTTTAGTGTGAATTACTCCAAAGTAAATTAAAACATACTTTTACTTTCTCTTATAGAGAATTATACTTATTTTCATTTTAACATTGTATATCAGCATATTTTCAGAATCTATAAATTAATGTAAATGTAATTTACATTTACAATGTAAAATTTACAAATTACAAATGTAATTACAATGTAAAATATGTAATAAAGCTCACAATAGCACAAAAAAACATTTTCAAAATTAATTATATGAAATTTGAAAACATTTGCAGATATTTATTCCTGTTAAATGGGAAAGTGAGGTACCCAGAAACTTTCTTCAAAGTTTAACAGATGATGATAAGGCCAGTGAAAGAGTCTGAGTGGACTATTTGTGCCACAAAGAAATGTTAAATATCTTGTTATGTTCTATTTCAGTGTTTGAAATTTTTTTTTATTGTTAGTTTCAGGTGTACAGAACAATGCAATTGTTATCCTTTTCACCCTCACAATGTAACAACCCCCCTCTCCCCATCTACTGCCCTCCCACCCCCGATATCATGCTTATCTATTACAATTCCATTGACTCCATTCCCACTCTCTACTCCATGTCCCGTGACTATATGTATATATATAATTATAGTTGACATACATTATTATTCAACATCAGCTTCAGAAATACAGTGTGGTGGTCAGTCCTCTACACCAACTATGAAGTGGTCTCCCCCACAAGACATGAGTCCACCTGGCCCCCTAAGAAATATTTACAACATTATTGATTATATTCCCCAGACTGTCTTTTCTATCCCTGAGGCCATATTGTAGTTACCAATTTGTATTGTCTCATCCCTTCCTCTTCTTCTTCATCCCCACCTCCTCCCAACTAGCAACCCTCAGTTTTTCCTCTGTGTCTCTGAGACTATCTCCATCCACGTCTCCATCCATTCAGATCCTTAGAATCCATGTATAAGTGAGATCATATGATATTTGTCTTTCTCTGACTGACTTATTTCACTTAGCATAATGTTCTCTAGTTCCATCCATATTGTTGCAAATGGTACTATTTCCTTCTTCTTTATAGCTGAGTAATACTCCATTGTATAAATGTACCAAAGTTTCTTAATCCAGTCATTTACCGATGGGCATTTTAGTTGTTTCCAAGTCTTAGCTATTGTGAATAGTGCCGCAATGAACATAGGGGTACATATATTTTTTCGGATTAATGTCTTGGGATTTTTTGGATAAATACCTAAGAGTGGGATTGCTGGGTCATAAGGTAGTTCCATTTTCAGATTTTTGAGATACCACCATACTGATTTCCATAATGGCTGCACCAGTCTGCAGTCCCACCAGCAGTGCACCAGGGTTCCCTTTTCCCTACAACCTTACCAGCATTTGTTGTTTGTTGATTTATTGATGATAGCCATTCTGACCGGGGTGAGGTGGTATCTCATTGTGGTTTTTATTTGCAGTTCCCTAATGCTAAGTGAGGTTGAACATGTTTTCATATGCCTGTTGGCCATCTGTATGTCCTCTTTGGAGAACTGTCTCTTCATATCCTCTGCCCATTTTTTAATTGGGTTGTTTGTGTTTTTTTGGTCTTGAGTTGCATGAGCATTTTATATATTTTGGATATTAATCCCTTATCAGATATATCATTGACAAATATCTTCTCCCATTCAGTAGGCTTCCTTTTTGTTTTATTGATGGTTTCTTTTGTTGTGAAAAATCTTTTAAGTTTGATGCAGTCCCGTATGTTCATTCAGTGTTTGAAATTTTAATAGGTGAACTTTTTCTAAGCAATTATCTTTAACACCAAAGAGATACTGTTTTGAGAGTAAATCTATGTAATCTCATACTGCAATGATTGCCCAACAACCATGTGATAGTCTGAATAATAGCCCCCCAGAGTCTGCACCCCAATCCTCAGACCCTCAGAATATGTTACTTTATATGACAAAAGGGATTTTCAAGGTTAAGGACTCTGAGATGACGGTTACCCCGGATTATCCAGGTGGGCCCAAGAATGTAATCACAAACATCCTTGTACGAGGAGGGCAGAAGAGAAGGTGATGTGATGATAGAAGTAGAGAGTGGAGTGAAGTGCTTTGAAGATGGAGGAAGAGCCACAAGCCAGGGCCTCTAGGTGGTCCCTGGAAGCTGGGAAAGGGCAAGGAAAGGGATCCTTCCCTCAGAACCTCAGAGGGACCCAGCTCTGCTGGCACCTTGTCTTTAGCCAAGTGAGACTGAATTTGGGCTTCTGATCTCCAAAACTATAAGAAAATAAATTTGTGTTGTTTTAAGGCACTAAGTCTATGGTAATTCATTAGAGCAGTACTAGGAAACTAATACATGGAAATTATTCAAAGGCAGAGGAAACAGAATGATTTAGAGCTGGCCAGTTTTAGAGCTGGCCAGTAGAGAAAGACGGGGTGCTTCTCTGTGCGGAGCTCTTTCTCTACCTACACAAGAACAGAGCGCAGGTGAACCCAATAATTTACTTAAGAAATTTAGCTAGTTAATTGTATATTCCATTGGATGGGAGGGAGAGATTAAAAAAAGTCTTCAAGGGGATAGCTTCAAAGTACTTTTGATGCCAGATTGCTCTAAAGTCCCTCTTCCTTACCACCAATGGATGCTGGAGCACTTGATATGACTTAAAGGATTTTTAACTTCTGCTCAGACATGAGAAATGGCCAAGAATAATCTAAATATACTTAAAATGGTTGGGTCAGGGAGAAGGAAATATATTTCTAAATATATTTCTTTAAATATTCTCAAAATACTCCTGTTAGCATAGATTTCATCATTGCCATCCACATCAAAGGCTGCATTTGCTGCTTGCTTACTCTGCACTGGAAATTATGTAAAACCCTTTATGTTCCCGCTCATATAATCCACACAATAATTCCATGAGATAGGTATGGGGGGAAGGGGAGCGTTCTAGACAACCCCCAAAATTTGCTCATTTCACACAGCTATTAAGTGGCAGAGCTGGGACTTGATCTGTGTGTGAAACCAAAGATTAATGCTTCATTTTAGTGAGTTCCATTTTTGATACAAAAGAAAGAAAGCATTCCAAGGTAAGTTATGTATGCCTTTCTTGACTTGTGGTAGTGTGGATTGCACAGACCATTGTCTCCCCATCATACACTTATAATTAAATTGTAAGCACTCAGCCTCTGGAAAAATTAACCTTGAGAACCCAAATCTAAAAATAGTGGCCACACTATTCAATAAATGGTGCTGGGGAAATTGGACAGATACATGCAAAAAAATGAAACTGAATCACCTTGTTATTCCATATACAAGAAAAAACTCAAAATGGATTAAAGACTTAAATATAAGAGCCGAAACCATAAAACTTCTAGAAGAAAACAAAGGCAGTAAATTCTCAGACATTACCCTTAGTAATATTTTTACTGATATATCTCCTCGGGCAAGGGAAACAAAAGAAAAAATAAACAAATGGAACTACATCAAATTAAAAAGTTTTTGCACAGCAAAGGAAACCACCAACAAAATGAAAAGGTATCCTACTGAATGAGAGAAGATATTCATTAATGATACATCTGATAAAAGGTTAATATCCAAAATTTATACAACTCAACACCAGAAAAACAACTAATCCAGTTAACAAATGGGCAGAGGACCTGAATAGACATTTCTCCAATGAGGACATACAGATGACCGATAGACACATGAGAAGATGCTAAACATCACTAATCATCAGAAAATGGCAAATGAAAACCACAATGAAATACCACCTCATTCCAGTCAGAATGATCATCATCAATAAATTAACAACAAGTGGGGCAAGGATGTGGAAAAAAGGGAACCCTTGTGCACTGTTGGTGGGATTGCAGATTGGTGCAATTAATTAAAAATAAAAATAGACCTACTTTATGACCCAGCAATTCCACTCCTGGGTATTTACCCAAAGAAATCCAAAACGCTAATTCAAAAAGATATATGCATCCCTATGTTGACTTCAGTGCTATTTACAATAGTCAAGATAAGGAAACAACCTAAGTGCCCAACAATAGACAATTGGATAAGGAAATTGTAGTACATTTATACAATGGGCTATTACTGTGCCATAAAAAAGAATGAAATCTTACCATTTGTAACAACATGGATGGACCTAGAGGGTATTATGCTAAGTGAAATAAGTCAGCCTGAGAAAGGTAGATACCATATGATCTCACTTATATGTGGAATCTAAAGAACAAAACAAACCAACAAAACAGGAACAGACTCATAGATACAGAGAACAAACTGATAGTTGCTAGATGGGAGGGGTGTTGGGGGGCTGGGTGAGAAAGGTGAAGAGATTAAGAAGTACAAATTGGTAGTTAAAAAATAGTCACAGAGATGTAAAGTACAGTATGGGGAATATAGTCAATAATATTGTAAAAACTATGTGTAGTGTCAGATGGGTACTAGACTTATCGGGGTGACCACTTCATAAATAATGTAAATGTCTAACCAACAAATATGCTGTACAGCTGAAACTAATATAAAATAATCTTAAATGTCAACTGTAATTTAAAAAATAGTCATGAGGATATAAAGTACAGCATAGGGAATATAGTCAATAATACTGTAATAACTATGTACAGTGTCAGATGGGTACTAGACTTATTGGTGTTATCACTTTGTGAGGTACATAAATATGTAATCACTGTGTTGTTTTTCACACCTGAAAATAATAAAAAAAAACCTCTGCAAAAAAAAAATACTGGCCTCAGATATCTATTGACTATTATACAATTACAAGGAAAGGCTTTTTAAAAGCAGTAATGGAAAATCACATTTTTATTTGTTTACTTTTAACTGGTGGAATAATGACCCTGGCAATAAGGAAAATCATATCATTTCTCAGTGAATCTCCCTAGAAAAACAGTTTTATGGGAGAGACTGTACTCTTTTTGTCTTAATTTTGAAATTAAAATTATTAATTTTATGGCTGTTTTTCAAAGAGAATCATTTTTCCACTGAGAATTGGGGGAAGCCTCACTTTTAGTTACCATAAGTCATTTGAGAATTGGTCATTTGACATTGTTTTGGAGTCTGGCCATTGTTGATGCTAAATCCTAAGACTTGAGAATATGTGGATCCTAGTTCCATCACTAGGACACTAATTAAATGTTTTAAAGTAAGTCACTGGACCTCAGAATCTCATCTCTAAATGAGTGACAGCAGGGGCTAAAATTTTTTTTCAGAAATGGGAGAAAGTATAAAAACATCAGTAGGTGCTATAAGAATTGCTTTGTCCATATTTTAAAATTTCATTTTGCTTAATTTTATTTATTTAGAAATAATTAATCTAGAAAAATTCCAGTTACATTTTAACATTTTAAACCAATTTGGTACAAATTAAAAGGATTTTTAAATTTTTAAATGATGAAAGTCAATTTATTAACTGTAATTTATGGATTCTGATTTAAAGTTCAGCTAAACACCAATAAGTTGATAAAAATGTGAGGAACTGACCACTTTCTGTTATGGTTGAGGAAAGTCCCTTTCAAATGAGAACAAGGATACAATTTGGATTATCAAGCTACCCATTACTTAAGAAAACTTCTTACAGCCTTATTATATAAAAGCTCTAGTACAAGAGAAAGAAGTTATCAGAATTTTAATAACCAGAGAGATAAAATTATAATGTAAAGTAAGAATTTAAAAAATCAATAAATTGTAATCCAGAATTACTAAGAGTTATAACTTCACCTGTATCATTTACATTTTAAAGGTTTTTGCATTTTCTAAGTTTTCTCTATTTGTATATTTATTTTTATCATCAGAAAAAAGGTTAATAAATAAAAGATGAACTTATTTGATATATACTTGGTTACGGGAAGTGGAGTAGTGTGGGGAGTGGAGTCAATGGAATCGTGATAGGTATGTATGATATCTTTGTGTGGGGTGAAAAGTATAACTATTGCATTGTTCTGTGCACCTAAAGCTAATCATCATCATCATCATCATCATCATAATGATAATGATAATAATAATAATAATAATACCAGAAAATTGAAAGAAATAATCACTTGATTTTCTAACTTTATTTTCTTTTTCTCTATGGGGGGGGGGTAGGGAAATCCTAAGAGCTTTAGTATGTCACATGACTAAGGGAAATCTGAGTGTAAAGGAGTTCCACTGATGTTTTTAATCCAAAATACCTAACAGAAACCAGAGTAGAGAAGTAGAAACACCACTGACTTCATCTCTGGTTGGGGCTTTGAGATAGCAGTAGTAGCAGCTACAAAACCCTTGACAAGTATGCTGAGAAATTGGGAATTGGGAGTATTGACTTGGCCTTAAGACTTGACTGATCCAAATGCCAAATTCTAATTTGAAGATGGAAAACTGATTGTCTGAGAAATGGAGCAATTTGGTGAAGCAAACAATGGATTCCTATGTTAAAAATTCCACTTTTGGCTTTTCCATTGAGCTCCTGAGTTAATCATTTGTGCAGTGGTTTCTTAATATGTTTTAGAACTTACAAAGCCAGAGAATCAAAGAAATTATCTAGAAACACACACCAAACTCACTTTTTCTGTAATTGCCCCACAACTAAGCAGATTGGTCCAACAGTTTTTCCCTTTATTTGGTCCAACACTAACCTAACTCCTAGGATCATGAGTTAAAACATCAACTCTAAAACTATTTCACAAAAAGAAAGATGATTTCTTGCTAAAATCTTCTAGGAAACCCTAAATACTAAAGTTTCTAAGTTTACATTTATTTATAAAATTTACTTACCTTCCAAGCTTGTCTCCAAGCCACCCACCAAAGAATGACGCGATCATTCCACCAACTGCAAAGCTGGACACAGAGAGGGACCAGAACATGGTGATGATGCCAGAAGATGCCATAGACTCTTCCTCAGCCCAAGTGATTGGTGTTGGACTCCTTGGGTATGGGGTTGTGGGCAGTTCCTGTGTACTCTCGCTAACATAGCTGTTGATAGCTTTTCGGTCATCCAGCGGGACACCCAAAACCTGCCTATAATGGGATATTATTACCTAAGGAAATAAAATAAAGAAAAATAGCTCCAATATTTCAAACATTCTATATATTCTTATTTGTTTTTCCTTTAAAATGTTTGTTAGGTTTTTAAACAGGATGACCCCAATTATGTGCATTATACACATACAAACACATATAGATTTATTTAAAGTTGACCATGTCCCATAAAACAGAGGTCACAAATTCCAGTGCCAACAGGAACAAGCAGGAATAAATAAGCGAAGGAGGCAAGGAGAACCTTGATGACTCGAGGACTGAAATACTTTCTGTACTTTTGAGGGTTCAATAGCGAGTGGGCAGGATTATGGTGCTTGAGACTATTTGTTCCATCTAAGGGAGGAAGCTACAGCTGTGAGACTAGTGTTGACGACCTCCAGTTTTTAAAGAGAAGCGAGAAATCTGTGTTTTTAATGTAAAATTCTCCAAGTTTTAAATGTTGGAAACTATTTAAATTGAAAATATTCTGCAGGCTAAAAAGATACATTTACATACCAGCGTTCTCCCTACACAGCAGGATTTAAATTGACTTATGTAAATATTTTAATGGAAACATAAAAGTGGATATAAGAAAAAAATTGGGGAAAGATAAAGTGAGGCCAAAAATAAAGGTAGTACAATATATAAATTCAAACACTAGGTGCTGTCTCCTTGCTAGAAGTGAGGTATTAATATAGCAATAAACTTTCTAGCAGCCAATGCAAAGAGAGGAAAACAATCATATGTATTGATGAATTCCAAAGATTAAAAAAAAAAAATTCGGTGGCTCCTGAGAAGGCATTGAGACCTGAAAAAAGTTTCTACTTTGGGTCTCATAGAGTTCAGTGTGTAATAGAGTGAACAATGTTCAAAACTAATGTTCAAAATTTCATAAAGCCGTACTTTATAATGTGCTTCAGTAGAGGCAAAGGTCATATGGGAGTATAATCAAGTAAAGGCACATCCTTCAGGCTATCTTCCTTCCATGTCATTCCTCTCAGTGATGGTTTGGTCACTATTCAGCAGTGATCTGGGAGGGCCCCTGACAAGGACCCAGAATGCAGCTGCCCTAGGTTACCAGTCATGGGCAAAATTCTATGTGGCAAAGCCAGCTCAGTGAGGGAAAGAACTGACATCCTCTTATGATGAAAGAAGTCTAGCCAAGACATTTGCCTCATTAGAAAGTTACTCTGTATGGGCAACATGCATAGAAAAACGGCTGCAAGGAAATATCCAAAATGTTCTCAGCAGTTTGCTCTATGTGGTAGAATGATGATGGGTGATTTTTTTCCCTAATACTTTCTGCAACAGGCATATGTAGTTTTCATAAAAAGATGTGATTTAAAAATACCTTAAATTAATTCCAAATGTCATTCTAATAAACTAATAAAAACAAAAGGGCCTGAATGACTCTTCTCACCTAATCGTGTTTAGGCAGCTCTTTAAACACAGAACAAAGGGGCTGTGGAAAGAGCACTAACCTGGATGCCAATGATACATCTCTGTTTTCAGGTTTAGCTCTAGGACTGGGATTGAGGTAGGGGGAAACTTAGATTTCCTCAAAGACTAGGAAGCATGGCTTACATAAGGATTTGAAAAAGTCTTCCACAAAAAGAGAAGCGGCTCTACCAATTATGGGGATATTGAACCAAATTTCAGGAAACCTGCTAAATTGGTACATGTCATCACCCACAGACAAAAAGCTATGACCCCAATGTCATTCCCTAAATCTTTCAACATCAGCAAGGCCTGCCACAGTCATGATGACATGTGGCAGCTCACCAGAGCATAGCTTTTGGCCCAAGGAAGAACTCTTTTCAGGTGATGGACTGATTGGCCAACACACATTTTATACATTCACACCTGCAGTATCTTCCATTTTCCTTGGAGTCCAATGTTGTAAGAGAAGCAGAGAAAATATGATTGGTTCATAGAAGGCTTCCAACAAATGTCTATATGTTCACCTTATGCCAGCCTTCCCCCAGTCTCTCTCTCTCTCTCTCCTCTCCCTCCCTCCCTCCCTCCCTGCCTCTCTTTCACTCACTTAGCACTTATTGAATGCCTTCTTTACACCAATCATTGTGCTTGGCACTAGTGATAGGAAGAGGAACAAGACATCTATCCCAACCTAAGTGACCTGATAGTCTGAATTAGGGCAGAGGGAGTGAAGTCTTGGTTCCCCCAGTTACAGGCTGTGGGAGCTGAGAAAAATGACATCCCTTTCCTGTCCACTCACTGGATACCAGAGTAGGGATGCACAAAATAAACAAGGAAAATGATAGACATTATTTGGTAATTTAAAAAATACCCATCTAAATAGTCATCATAAAGAAAATCTAAACTTTGTTCAACTTCTTGATTATTATTTAAAAAATTTTGTATTATTTTACTTTGAATCACCTATGAGAAACAGGAATGTGGGCAAGAAGTAGAAGCTTTTTAGTGTCAGTGCTCCTAAAGGTTGTAATCTGGCCTAGAAATGGGCATAAAAAGATTGTTGGGAGGGTCACGCCGGGAACAGCATATGTTAAAGTGCCTGATGCACAGTGACTTGGTGCTCAATAAATGTTTGTACATAGAATGAAACATATTCTTCGATAGTTTCCTCTTATTCCCTGGCATTTTCATTCATGTATGGCTGAGAGGTCTGGATGAATGCTGCAATAAGCTCTTAAACTTAAAAAAAAAACCAAAACCCTTAGGCATGTGGTATTCTGGCTGAAGTTTTCTGTGAGGTCAGCAAACAGCAGAATCAAAGATGAAGAATTATTTCATGCTCTTTCTCTTCCTGTGAGGGCTATTAACTGAAGAGTCAAAGTCATGTTATCAGCTCTGGAACCATGCACATTGTACCTGAGAGAAGGCCTGGATTACCCTGTGTTCCCCACATGGGCACACATTATCTCTCTGTACAAGGAAATGATAGATATCTTCCTGTCATTGACTGAAATTGCCCCAAAGAGATTTTACCATACATGTTTCACTTGCCTGTTGAGGGGCATTGATCACACCAATGTCATATCCAAACTGGAAGGAACCCAGCACAGCAGTGAAGACAGTGAGAACCAAGGTCCCGGTGACCTGTGGGGAATAAAACACAGGGCAGGGGAACACCGGCAAGTTCAGTCACCCAGCGCGTCATCAGCCTGCAGGCTGGACTTCTGACAGGCTCCCCAGGCTGGCTCTTGTCCCTTGACACTCACAGTGTTCCCTGTGTTCCCAGCAGGGTCATTCATACCAGAATGTGAGAACCATTCATCATTTTCCTTACAATGCTACAGCTGAAAAGAGTGGGGGACGACTTCTCCCAGGGGAGAAACAAAAAATCCTTTTACACACACACACACACACACACACAGAGAGAGAGAGAGAGAGAGAGAGAGAGAGAGAGAGAGAGAGAGAGAGAGAGATATGTTTAAGATTCAAAATCAGGATTGAGAATTAGAATTGTTGTGGGCTGAAGGAAACTGCTAAGGTAAAAACAGTCATTTATATCATTGTGAGAACTAAAATAAGACACCAGTAACAAAGAGATGGGGAGTTCCTGGACATTTTTATGTAAAAAAAAAATACCTCAATATTCATACAGAAGGCATCAACCAGACTTTATCATGGTCCACATCAACCTTCAGGTAATACTTTTCACAATTTGCACCTAGTTGACTCTAGAATTGGTTAAGGTGTATTATTCCCTACCTCTCCATTCCCCAACTCCCTGTAGCTACAAAAACAAGCAAAAAGTGTAGACGGGGCAGAGCATTCATCCCCTTCAACTCATAACCACGTGTCTAACCATCTTACAGAAATCATATGATGAACACAGAGTCAGATATAAGGATATTTGATTAAGCATTTTGTGTGTGTGATAGCAAAAATTATAGAAAAGACCAAATGTCATTCAATAGAAAATGGCCAAATAGATTAAAGCTATCATGATATTATACATACATCAGATACATACAATATGCTATGCAGTAGTTAAAAAGAATAATGTGATATGTACTGACATAATGTAATTATGTAGTGACCAAGGAAGTTGTGTAATCTCAAAAATTTTTTTAAAGGCTTAAATTTGAGTATTTTTTGATTCATGCATGTTATATGAAACTCATAGAATATTCTCTTGAAAAACAAGAGGATGATGTTTGAGGAAAATGTGAGATTGGAGAAGAGGGGTAAAGGAATATTTTTTCTTTTATTTATATTATTAGACATTTTATAAGGAAACTATTTCATGTATAATCACATAATTTAAAAAATTGTAAATAAATAACATGGTTTATAGTAGAAACTTTGTTGAATGAATGAATGAATCATATCAACATGGCTTTCAGTTCCCATTCCGATACTTAGTGGGTATGTGGCCCAGATCATTTCCACTGCAGGACCTTCAGTTTTTCTCTAAATTGGGGGATGATTATAAAGCCTCCTATCCCAGCATAAAAATAGCTAATTAACCACCAGTGCCCCTCACTCGCCAGTCAAGCAGGAGATCAGAAGTTTCAGTGTCATCAACAAAGTATTAATACAGAACCACCCTGAGAGCCGTTAAACTTATTGTCTAGTGGTTCTAAAACAAGACTCTACTTGGAGAGTTTATTACATATGTAGCTTCCTGGGGCTCATCCCAGACCTACTACTTAATTGGAATCTCTGGGGTGACAATTGAAAATCTTTAGGTTTGAAGTTTGCTTCCTCTTTTTCCACTAATTCAACTACTTTCTCCCCTACCCATAGAAAATTTTTATGAGGTCCCTGCACAAAAATCCCAAAGGGCAATGGCTATTTAGCTGCTCATCTGTAGCTCAGTTGAAGAAGGACTTTGGGGCCTTCTTACAACCAAGGTTCATCCCTGCATCTCCTTTTTTTCCTGCGGCAGAGTCTCCAAGCACTTGGCGACTGCTCGTCCCACTCGACTCCTGCTCTTTGCTGGTTCTCTTTTCCTGACTCCCCTCCCCCCAGGCAATATTAAGCTCCTTTTTTTAAATTTTATTTTATTTTAAGAGTCCAACCAGAGTGACGTCAGAAACATGGTGGCATGAGGGGTGCTCCTTGAAATCTCCCCTGGAAGTTACAACAAATTGACCAGCTATAATTCAACAAAGGATTCCCTATGAAACACACAAACATGTCTGAGAGATCTGTGCATTGAAACACCTGAAGGTGGGTGAATTGGGCAGAACAGGGGAGGAAGGAAGGGAGAAGTGCAGAGACACAGGCTGCAGGACACAGCCTGGAGCTCACTGCAGTCCCAGAAGAGGGGAGGGTTGAGCCTGCAGGTGCACTTTCTGTGGCCCACAATCCTGCCTGAGGGATCAGCATACAAAATAGCTGAACCCAGAGATCAGGGCAAAGACCAAACACAGAAGTATGACAGCCCTTACTTCCATCACTGCCAGGCAGAAAACAGAGCCATGGAGCCTGGCTGCCTCCCCCCACCCTCCCAGAGCTTGCCTCTCCCACACACCCCCAGTGTTAGCAACAGGCCCCAGAAAAAACTGTAGCAATATCAAATTAAAGAGCAGAATATCTAAAGCCCTTAGGACTGGAGAGACAATTCCTGAGTGGCAGATGCACAATGCAGCTAATTCTGGTGACAGAAGGAGCTGTAGGGGCGAGACAGTTGTGGGCTGGCAGACAAACACACCTGCTGCCTCTTCCAGCCCACTCCACCCCCACCTTTCCCAGCTGGTCCCTGTGGGGACACCCAGGGCTACTGAGACACACATGCTCTACATCAGGCTTCAGGGGCAGCTTTGGGGTTTCAGAGGCTCCAAACTCCATCTCCCACCACATCCTTCCGTGGGCAGCTGATTTGAAACCAAGGCAACCTGATCACAGATCAGAAGCCCACCTCCCAGGAAATCTCCCACCACATAAGAAGCCAGAACAGTGCAAGAGAAAATAAAACATTCCAGCACCACCTACTGGAAAGCAAGAGAAAACCTCTTCATATCAATCTGCTGCAGAATTCACACCTATAGATGCCTACGAAGAGAAATAATTCATTAATTACCATGAATAACCATTGTAACAAGGCATCTCAAAAAGAAAATGAAAATATATTTCCACGAACTTAAAGACATGGAAATATATTACTTAAATGGCAGATAATTCAAGATTGAAGTTCTGAAAAACTTAATGAGATGCAAGAAAATACAGACAGGCAGTTTAATGAGCTCAGAAGTAAAATTAATGAGCAAAATGAATATTTTCCCAAAAAAGATTAAAATAAAATAAAAAAAAGACCCAACTAAAAATTCTGGAACTGAAGAACTCAATAAATGAGATGAAGAATGAAATATCCAGCTTAGGAGATAGAGTCACCAGATGGAGGAAAGAATTAGTGACATTGAAGA